TCTTCGCTGGGCGCCTGTGCATGCAAATTAACCGCCATCTTTGTTGGGTTAATTTGCATACTCTTCTGATTGGCTGGTGGGTGTAGCAAAGGTATGGTTAATTAGCATCTTTGTCTTTTATTAGTGAAGGTGTGTGTGTGTGTGTTATAATCATAAAATTTGCAATTTTAACTATTTTTAGGTATAGAATTCAGTGGCAATGCCTCCTAATATTACACTAACTATGTTGTGCATCACTACTATTTTCAAATTTTTTCATTATCTGAACAGAGACTCTGTAACCAGTTAGCAATAACTCCCCATTTCCCTTCCCCACAGCCCCGTCACCACTAATCCTCTGTCTCTATGAATTTGCTAAACCTTTATATTTTATGCAGAACTACTAAGAATTACAGATTAGATTTTGAAATAATCTCTTTACAGTTTCTTATACGGTGCTGTCATTATCTGTAGTATCTGTCCTTGTTATTTATTGCTTCATAACAAAGGACCCCAAAACTTAGTTTCTTCAAACAGTAATAGTCATATGTTATTTCTGATGGTTTTTATGGGCGAGGAATTCAGCCAGGGATGGTGGAGATTACCTGTCCCTGCCTGGGGCCTTTGTGGGAAGCCCCCAAGGCTGGGGTCTGGAAATTGCTGAAGTCTCCTTCCCTCACATGTCTGGCGGTTGATGCTGGCTGTAACCTGGGGGCCTATCTGGGTTGTCAACTTGGACATCCACATGTTATTTCTCCATGTGGCCTGGGCTTTCCCACAACATGGTGGTTGGACTTCAAAGCATCTCAAGACATAAAGGAGAGAGGGGGGGAGGGAAGAGAGAGAGAGAGAGAGAGAGAGACACACACACACACACACACACACACATCGGCCAAATGGAGGCCACACAGCCTTCAGTGACCCAGCCTCAGAGGTCATAAGCGTCCCTTCACTGCATTCTGTTGGTTGATACAATTACAAAGGTCCACCAAGGCTCAGGTAGGAGGAACACAGGTCCTACCTCTAAATGAGTCAGGGCCACACTGTGAGAAGAGCATGTGAAATGGGGTAAAAATTGGTGTGACCATCTTTGGAAACGCAGACTGCTGCAGTGTGTGTGTGTGTGTGTGTGTGTGTGTGTGTGTGTGTGTGTGTGTGTGTGTGTGTGTGTTTTCACAGTGGTACCCAATTCAACCCCAGTAGGACTTCTCTGAAATTAATTCCTTTAATGAACCTTAGCTGCTAGCTCATCAGTTGTGAAGACAGGAACCCTGCTTCCTCTATCAGGAGGTTGCGATTTACACATTGAAAAAGAGATAAAAAAACGTGAGATGTCGCTGTTGTTAGAAAAGAAAACAAGATAATTTTTAAAATGTGTCTGTTAAAGTAGCTGTGCTAATTCTCCTTGGTCAAGAAAAACAGTTTAATATGAAAAACATATTTTTTTATGAACATTGTGTTTATGGTTTGGATGAAATACATTTCTCTAGGTTCTTGATTGGCCTGAAATATTTAAACACACAGCACCTCTTTCCCTGATTTGCATGTGGAGCCGATAGTTTATGAAGTACGTTTTAATTACATAAGTCCTGTTGCCATTCACCTAACCTTTCCAAAGCTGGGTGTCCTCCTCTGGAATATGGGAAAACTCATAGTACCTGCCTCACACAGCAGGCGTGAGGATCACAGGAGTGAATAGATGGGAAGTGCTTGGCACGTTGTAAATGCTAAAATAAAATAAAAGTCACACGCAGGGAGTGTATGGATGTGTGAATGGTATTCTGCATCTACACATATTCATAGAGTCCCAGCAAAACGGGAATCATTCCCAACAAGGTACTCAAAAGAGAAAAGACAGGGCTCCTGAAAGCAGGTTGTCCAGCTGTTCCGTTGGGAAGCACATGCCAGATTGCTTGTTAAGTTGATAACTGTTTGTTTTTCCCAGTTTGAAAAAGAAAAACAGCACGATATCCGAACCTTCTTTTTACCAAAACCTAAAAAAAGGAACTCGGTGACCTCCTGTGATGACTCAAAGCTATTCCACGAGAAAAATACTGTAGTGCCACTAGGCCCTGGAAAAATACCTACAAGAGATACCACTGATTTTGAAAACAGTTTTGAACCTGAAGCTAAAAGACAGAAGTCAGTCACCCCCGATGACCGTGGCAGCCCCCGACAGGCGCAGCCGGCCTGGCCCCGGAAAACCACAGCTCTAGCCCAGGCCACCGCCCCGGCCCCTCCCCACGAGGACTGGCAGTGTGGTTTCTGCACCTACATCAACAACGCATTGCTGCCTTACTGTGAAGTGTGTGGGAATCCTCACGGCAGCGCTGGTGAGTACACGGGGCCCCGACAGGGGTGTTTCCAGATAGCCTGTGGTTTTTGAGACCACGGCTGCTTCATAGGGCAGTGTGACTCGGCACTGCCTTCAGCTTTTAAGCCGGAGGAACAGCTGCACATGTGAAGTGAATGTATCCCCTTGTGGAATGTGGAAAGCTCCTGGCTCCATCAAGAATGTGGACCCCCAGCGTCTGTGGCCTGGCATTAATTTGGCACAAATGGACGTTTCTGATTAATGCCAGCAGGATGTGAATTCAGTGGGCAGGACTAGAAGCTCTGTTGCTATGGCAGCAAATATGCCTTATAGTCATAGACCTGCTGTTTTCTTTACTCAGAGGATAATACTTGATTTTAAAGAAATTACAGATTATTTTTATTCAAATAACAAAATAACCCAATGTCGCTTCTTTGTCTAGTAAAATATACACTAGGCCATGTTTCTTGCATGACAATCATAGAAATTCCTCTCTAGATCTTTTTAAAGAACGATTTGATATGTTTTATGAGTTTATTCTTTTTTAAAGCATGCTATTTTAAAAGTAGACATCATAAACATACCTCAGAGTATGTTTTTATAGCATAAGATGCCATTTCCTGATGCTTTGTTTTTGGAATGATTATTAATACCTGGTTGTCTTAAGAAAAAGATCACTCGTATGCCTTTGTTGCCAGTTCTCCTGGGTGAGAGGTCATTTTTTTAAAAAATATATTTTATTGATTTTTCACAGAGAGAAAGGGAGAGAGATAGAGAGCTAGAAACATCGATGAGAGAGAAACATCGATCAGCTGCCTCCTGCACACTCCCCACTGGAGATGTGCCCACAACCAAGATGCATGCCCTTGACCGGAATCAAACCTGGGACCCTTCAGTCCGCCGGCCGACGCTCTATCCACTGAGCCAAACCAGTTACAGCGAGAGGTCATTTTTTATGGTAACTCAAATGCCAAGTTGACAGTTTTGGAACCTGGAAGAAGTCATTTTGTTTCATCAAGTGTAATAATTGCTCACATCTACTTTTCCATCATATGTGAATTCTTCAGAGTAGTAACATTAACAAAGACGCAGCTAAGTTGAAGCTGAAACTGCAGTTCCTTCTTGCCTGCCATGCTTCCCTCCGTCTTAGCTTTGATTTGAGAGAAAGTGTAATCAGTAGCTGAGTCTTTTCCTCTTTCAATTCTGGATGTTCCTACCCAAACTGACAAGGCTGCCATCTGGGTGGTTATATTTGTAACGTGGACACCTGTTGTCTGTGAACTAAATTGGAACCACAAGCTTATCCCATATCATCTCTCTCACAATTTGCATTACCTCATTCAATTTCCAACTGCTACAGGCAATAAAAATAAAGTATCTTGTGACTACAAAGTAATGTCAATTCACATTAAGTACGTAAGTTGAGCGATTTAGCAACAAAAATTATACTTTAATAGGGTTTTATAGTTCTGATTTCTCTTTGTGTTGATACCAAGAGCAACAATGAATGTTTCTAGACCCATGATTTAATAAGCAAACTCCCAAGCAATCCAAACAAAAACAAAATATCTTTTGTGAACAAGCAACTATCTGTTCAAAGAGAAACATATATTCTACATAACAATGATATTACTGTATATAAAAGTTATTAGGTTTATGTTACTGTAATTTGGCATAGTGATTTCCAGCCTTAATTTGGATATACCCCAAAAGTATTGAACCACAGAATTATTTCTAATCCATCTAAATTTTTAAGTCCTTGCCTGCCATATAACACTTTGAGGGTATGGTGGAATCCAAAAATCAAAGGAGCCGTCTTAGGATATTACATTCCTGTAGAGGTTGCTAATGCAGATTCTAGCACATTAGAGGAGATTTGGTACAGTATACTAGTGAGCACTAATATTTGTCAACTAGAGGCCCAGTGCACAAAATTCATGCACCTGGGGGGGGGCGTCCCTCAGCCTGACCTGCACCCTCTCCAATCTGGGAGCCCTCGGGGGATATCCAACTGCCAGTTGCAATCCGGGACCTCTGGCTCCTAACTGCTCACCTGCCTGCCTGCCCTAACCACTCTGCCTGCCTGATCCCCCTAACTGCCCTCCCCTGCCAGCCTGGTCACCCCTAACTGCCCTCCCATGCCAGTCTGGTCGCCCCTATTAACTTTTTTTTTAATCTTATTCCCTTCACACACACAATTGCAGTTGACTTCCTTATTGGCTTCTCCCTGTCACACAGTTTTTCTCTTTCCTTTATGTAACACTATTTCCTACTGACTCATCATTTATAAACTTTTCTTTCCTCCTTATTTCCTACTTCTGTTCCATCATCCTTCTTCCCATCTTTCTCCTACCCTC